AACCATTCTGTGACTCAATGACAACATTATAATAATTATTTTATTTCTTTTATATTTTATTTTTTTTCCCCTCCTCTGTTGAGTCAGGTTCAAGAGACAAATCCCACTACTGGAAGTCTTGAAATCATCTCCGTTACAGAAGATGAACCACCAGTACCACAAATTCAGTTTACCTTCAAAAGATTTTTCTTCATACCACAAGCAAGAGTGGACCCGAGTGCAGATGGATCTGGTAGGGACAATCCACAGCCCTCTGACCTTTGCAATCCCAGTGGCCACTGTGTGCCAAGCTCTGCTTGCCCACCCAGAGCAAGCAATCACACTGAGGAGGAGGAAACACAACTTCCCTTCCCCAGGTGTGAGGTTTGCCAGCTCAGTGATGTGATGACATCTTGTGTCGACTTGCACACACCAGCATTTTCCACACCCAGATTATTCACACAGAAGCAAATGCTTCCCCACACTTTCCAGGCACATTTTTGAATGGTTTGTTTGAAATTTTGCCAGCCTGGAAATTGGTCCATTAAAAAATCTGAATATACAATGCAGCAGCCTTGAATGATTAGCATGTCTGTTTGCTGCTTTTCATTGATTTCAAAATAACCATGGGTTCCAACAAAGGCAGGCTGAGCTTCCAGAATGAAAATAGAGCAATTTAATTTTCTAGTCCATTAGCTGCTGCAGCTGTCTAAGATTTTTGGCATCCCAGACACCAACTCCATTGCCAAAACCAGTAACTCAGCTGCTCCTGAGAGTCTGAGGGAGCTGGGATTTACCTAGAGAGTCTATAAACCCTTGAAGACACTCCTTTTCCTTGACTGATTGTATCTGCCAATCTCAATTATAACGCCTGAGGAATGGAAAAGTGAAGACCTGAATGAACTAAAATTAAAGACAAGGTTCTGTCAGTTCCTGTGTGCACTCATGACCCAGCTGTGTTTGCTATTTCCCCACAGTTTGCCCTTTGTATAGCAGAATACATTTGAGACAAGTGAGCCACTCATTATTTTCAGCAGAATCTCTTGTTGTCTTCCAGACTGGCAATACCACTGAGTAGAGGTCAGCTCTGGAGGTCAGTGGTTGGTAAACAGATCCAGCTCATGAAACATGTTCTCATGTTCTGCAATAACTACTGATGTATATTTTAACTTTAGATGCAGCTTTTTGTACTTGAAAACTCAAGACTCAGCCTTGAGACATCACTCAGTTCTCTTCTTGCCTTTATAGCAAAACTTTGAACAGATGACTTTTTTACAGTTTTTGAGACTAGGTAGAGGATCCTACTTTTTTCTTTTTTTTTTTTTTGCAAATTAACTTTCAATCATTTTCAATTAACCTTGCTTCCAAGTCCAAAGGGACCAGAGAATTTCCTCCCTCTTTTATTGAACTTCTACTTATGAGCTGCACACAGGTCTGATAACACAGACAGAAGAGGTCTGAATTTCATTTTTATCCCAGAGCCCAAGTTTTCAGCAGAGGTGCTCATATTCTTGAAAAGCTCCCAGTGGGATGTAGCCCATGAAAATGAAAATTTGGAGCTCACATGGTTGATTGCATTGAGGACAGGCCAGGTGCTCTGCAGGGGCACAACTCAGACCCTCCCGAGGCAAATGATTAAGGGATTTGAGCATTTTTAATAATAATAAGAATAATAACAATAATAATAACAACAACAATAATAATAAGAACAACAACAACAACAACAACAACAACAACAACAACAACAACAACAACAATAATAATAATAATAATAATAATAATAATAATAATAATAATAATAATAATAATAATAATAATAGTAATAAATAATAAATGAGCAGAACAGCCCCAAAGCATTTGGAACTTTCTTATTCCCTGAAAAAGCAAATCTAAATCCCTTCTGGTGAGGTCATCTCATGAATTATATCCAGGAGTTATTGATGATATCTAGTTTAATGTTAGATAAATCTTTCTGATTGCCAGCTCAGCTGGTTTAACCTCACAGAAGATTTCTCTGTCTCTTTTCCAGGAGATATTGAACCACCTTCAATGTGCCATGCTCTTGTCTCCCTAAAATACTTCCCATATGTCTGTGGTTTATTCCTTGCAGTAACCCTAGCAGTTGCCATTGGCCTGGGTGGTGAGTACCATTAGTTATTTATTAAGTTCTCACTTAGCCATTCAAATGCTTAATTTTTCATGAGCTTTTTACTGAGAATGGAATTAAACTGCTACTGTGGCTTGTTTGTGGAAGTAAAAAATCTTGTTGAGGTGATGGCTTTAAATTTTATTTACATGTAGGGATAAAATAGGTCTGGCACTCCTGAGAGGATTGGTGTAATATTTACAACACTGGGGAACCTGCAGCTTTAGGAAACCTTTCTCTAGAAAAAATTTTTCAGCTCCCCTCTGGCAATGAGCTGAGTTTAGAAACTGGGGGTAAAAAAGTTCCTGTGGGTAGCCCACACCATATTTTTGCGTTGTAATTCACTTTCTAAGTTTGATTTCAAAGAATTAAAGAATTTCCCCTATCCAAAACAACTTTTATAAAGGAAAAGAAAATGCAGAATGAGTTTAGCTGTGGCTGGGAAGTGTGACCTGCCCAGGTCCAGGGGTTGTGTATCCACACCTGGAATAGGGAGCAGCTTGTGGGAGTTTGAGGCATCCCCCTGGGGAGAGCAAGCACTGGATGTGTTTTCCAAGGGTCTCCCTAACTTCCTGCTCAGGGTCTGAGGCACCAGGCAGGAATTCACCCTCGAGTGAAATTTAAACTGTGCAGAGGGAGCTGGGAAGAGTCAGCACACACAGCAAAGCTGACTCCTCCTACGAGTCATTACTAATAAATGAGTTTTAGCAGCACCACGTAGCAACCTCCAGATTGTATTTCAAAAGTTCCTGGAGTACAGGAGCTGGCTTTTCCTTAGCAAGACTGAAATCTGGACAGATAATGGAATGCAGAACTGTTAAATTAAAATCCAAGTGTGTCTTTGTTGCCCTGTGTTCTTTCATTCCTTTTAGTCCAGTACAACTGCATTGGGAAATTTCGCTGTCGATCATCCTTTAAGTGTATCCAGAAATCAGCCAGGTGCAATGGCGTCTTCAACTGTAAAGAAGGGGAGGATGAGTACAGATGTGGTAATTCAATTTTGATTATAAATGCCTCCTACCTCCTCCTGTAGAAGTGGCAAGCTATCAAAGAATGCTTATTGTAAAGATTTTGGGTGAGACTAGAAAGACAGAGACCAATGGAATATCTAAATCACCAATTCAGAGGAACAATCTCTCTGAGGCACTGATTTATAGTTTATGAAAAAATCAAACTACTTTTAGATAAATGTGATGAATATTGTTACTGCCATTTTTGATAATTTTCTCCATTAGAAGCCTAGATGCTTTTTGACTGATCACATTTCTTCTGCCTGCAAGGTGTAACCCCACTGCCTTACGATGTGTTAATACAGAATACTCTGTATTCACTGGCACACTACTGTGCTGTGTCAGTTTTGAAGATTGCAAAATCCTGGTGTTATCTTAAAGGATGTGGGAATAGGAAAAATCAGCCTTTTGTGCATTCAGTGCTGCAGAATTTCCTCCTTCATGTGTGAGATATATAACTTCTTTCTGAATTTCTTTATGTGGTAATTTTGGGACTCACAGGGATGCTTTAAATAGCACTTCCCTGTCCTGTGCTGTGTGGTATTCACAGGTGGCTGTGGTGTTCATAGCCCCTGGAGGGAAAGGACTCTAATGTTAAACAGAATAACTGGGTTTTAGCTCAGTGCACTTGTAATCCTGGCTCCTGTACCTACAGGTAAGGAGGTAGCACAGCATTCCCTCTGTGCAATAATGACAGGAACCACGAGGCTTTGGCCCCAGCTAACCCTACACAATGTGTTCAGCATTTGGAGAGTTTTCCCCAGGGAGGTTTGATGTGTCTGTGGAGCCAGTGACAACACCTCTGCTTTTCCTGTCTTCCTTTGCAATTCCATAACACTGGAATCGTGGGCACATGTGGGAAATCCCTGTTCAGCAGAGACCACCTGCATGGCCTCCCTTCTCCCTCACAGATGTGCCCTTTCCCAGGTCCAGGACAGCTGGGCACAAGTGCATCCACCTGTCTGACAGAGGATGTGCTCACCACCTTCATCCCTTACCCTGAACATGGGTTTCATCTGGGCAAAGCATCTGCAGCTCCAGCTCACTGCAGTCACCAAGGCTTGCTTAAAGCTCACTGGAGGGCCTGGCAGCCTCCACCACCTGTATTAGAGCTGGAATTCTCATGAGCAAAGATTTTTTTCCCCTAGCTGTCCTCGCTCAGAGTACCTTATTTCCCTTCTTTAATGGAAGGGGAGAAAAAAAAAATCACAGAAAAACTCTGTCAAAGAATCAAAAAAAAACACAGACACCAGAGTGGTGCCTGGGCACTGCCATGTGCCTGTTGTGTGCCTGATGTTCATCTTCCCAGCTCACTGAGGCTTTTCTTGTCCTGAATCCCAAAGTCAGGCTGAGTGGGAAGAGGGCAGTGCTGCAGGTGTTCACCTTCGGCTCCTGGCGCACGGTCTGCTCCGACGACTGGAGGGCAGAGTTTGGGAACACCACCTGCAAGCACCTGGGCTTCTCAAGGTATGGACACCCATGCCAGCAGCTTCATTTGGCCTTTGGAACAAACTCTGAGGTCTTCAGTCTTTCTAACAAAACCTTGTGTTAGTTTGTGCCTTAAAAATGACTCGACAGTCCACCTTTGTGAGTCATACAGTTGAGGAGATTTGAGATGATGTACTTGTACATGGCAAATATCTTTTATTATTGCTATAAATCCTGCATGATGGCTGAATATAGTGGCTTGGCTAAATCTTCCCTGTGTGATGCAGGTGCCCAAATTGTATTTGTCATTCTAGTGGCTTTTAGAGAGGCACTAAAAACATATGAGCATTTTCAGTTCTTTTACCCCTGAAGGTAAATTGTATACACAATTCATGTCATGACATCTGATAGAATTTAAGCTCCACTTCATAATTAGAGAAGAACATGGCAAGGCAGTTCTTGCTGGATTGATCCTATTCTCGAAAAAATACCATGTATTTCACAAACTTGCATAAAACAGAGAAAGATTTGTAGTCATGATTTGGCATGATGCTCTGTTATTTTTTACCATGACATCATTCTCATTTCTGCTATAGTTAGCAGTAAAAAGATGCTTTGTATAAGTTTGTGTTGCCTTTAGGATAAAATACATCTCAATTTTTCAACAAAGAAGAGAAGAAAAAATTAAAAATTATTCATCCTCCCTGCCACAAAACATAACTCTAGAAAAAGGAGAAAATGAGCTTGTAAGTGGCTCAGGAAATATGCCAGCCACTTACAATGAAAAGCTTCATTGTAATATTACAATTAAACTTTACTTTCTCTGCCAGTTAAATGCATCTCAGCATGTGTGGCTTCCACACATGATTATGTCAAAAATACATGCACATGGTAAGGAGCATAGCGGGAGGAAATAATTACTTTTATAGAATGCCAGCATCTGATTATTGTGGTTTTTCATTAGCAGAACCGGTGAATTATTTAGGCAGATTGCTGCAATGCTGTCTGGGGAAGCTGTGTTTATGGTTTATTTGCAGTTATGTGAGCTCAGGTGACCTGCCCGTGGCTGCAGTTGAAAAACAGTTCCAAAGACATTTCGTATCCCTCGGCCACTGGTTCTCAGCCGATCAAGGGACATCCCTGCACAATGCCACCAACCTCAGGTATGCCTCAGCTGCTTCAGGAAGAGAGCAATCAATAGAAGGGGACTTATTGATAGTTTGGGATTGTTGCTGTTTTCTGTTTTTTCGGGCACGTAGGACTTTGTGTTTGGTGGTGTTACACACGTTAGACTGAGGTTCAACAGCAGTCTTGCTGAATATAAACTGTGTCTCATCCAAGACCCATTAAAATCAGCAAAGGCTTTCAAATGAGCTGTTTGAAATGACTGTCCCATGATGCCATTTTTGCAAATGGATTGGCACCAGGCACCTCTGTTTTTCCATTATGAAGCAGTTTGTCTCAGTTTGCAGATCCTTATACGTTTCCCAGTGGGTTTATGAACCCTTTATGTTCATTTACTCCTCCTGACAAATGCTGGTTTTTCTTAGTTACCTTCCAGTGAAAAGGGAGCAATGGATCCAAGGAGACTCCAGATCTTCCCTTGTGGAAGAGAGAGCCCCTCTTCAGCAGGGCAGCAGATGGTCTTCAGCCAAGCTCCCAGTTTCAGTGCTCCAGTTAAAGGTCCTGATTAGATTGGATGAGTTCATGCCTTTGTACCTCTTTCAATAGATGAGTTACTTATATTTATGTGCACAGGAAGATGATATAATATTGAAAAAAACACAAGGTATTTGTGACTTGGGAGTAATGCTGCGCTGTCTTCTCATCTCAGGGAGGAATGCTCTTCTGGCAATGTGATCATCTTAAAGTGCTTGGGTAAGAATCACAAAAAGTGAAAATAAAAGCAGAAACTATCCTTCTTTATCCACTGCACGGAAAGAGTTGGGAGCAACTGTGTACTCAGGGCATATTATGCTATCAGCTTATCACATCAAAGAAAAATTGTATTTTTTATGTAAAATTTGAAAGAATTTCAGAAGGTGAAAATAGGCTGGGAGGGCAGATTGGGAGCATGAGATAGCAGGAGCATTTCAGTGAGAATCCCAGTAGGAAGTGTATATTAAGGACTGTGTGTTGAGTCCATGGACTCGCACTGTAATTCCAAGTCTTTGGCATCTTGGCAGGAAAAGGGAAATTCTGCCTTAATGGCATTTCCATCCCACACCTCTCCATGCCACCTAGTTCTCAGATTGGGATACAAAAAATCAAAATACAAGAGCAAAATCACCACGAGCAGAGAGGAAATGCTTGAGCCTGTGTGTGTGGGATGCTGAGGATGAAGGAGAGCAGAGCAGGGGGGTTTTACAGCTCAGTTGAGCCCTGCACCTGCATGGAAGAGAGACACAGACCCCACAAACCCCAGGCCATGAGTGACCTGCAGGGATGGGAGGGAGCAGGACAAACCTCTGGGATGGGGTGGGGATGCTCCAGCTGCAGAGACCTCCCACCCCCAGCAAGGCTGGGAGACGAGGGGCTGGATGTGACCCAAACCAGGGCTGTGTTTCCTCTCTGGACTGTAACCTTTGCTTCCTGGCAGCGTGTGGGACCCGAGCCAGCTACGGGGCGCGGATCGTGGGGGGCAACGCGTCGTCCCCCCGGCAGTGGCCGTGGCAGGTCAGCCTGCAGTTCCAGGGCCACCACCTGTGCGGGGGCTCGGTCATCACCCCGCTCTGGATCCTCACGGCCGCCCACTGCGTCTACGAGTGAGTGCCCAGATCTGATCCCTGTTCCCCAAACCCTCTGCTCCCCAAATCCCCTGTCCCCCAACCCCCCCTGCTCCCCAAACCCCCCTGTTCCCCAAATCCCCCTGCTCCCCAAACCCCCCTGCTCCCCAAATCCCCCTGCTCCCCAAATCCCCCTGCTCCGGGGACACTCAGCTTGCTCTTAAAAATAACCTGCAGGACACACTGCCTCATCTGTGTCGATGCCTTAGGGTTTGGCTTTTATGTTTTTCATGTGTTGGTAATCCTGCAATTCTTCAGTGTATAGCTCTAGGCTCCATATAGAGTGTTAGCTGCTGCTGTCCCATTTTGGGCACAAAAAATTCCTCTCTAGGCCTGGGAATCAAGGACACCCCATTGTCTTGAGCCTCAAGAAATGTAGACGTGTCTTGAACCTCAAGAAATGTAGACGAAAGTGTGTTTGGGGGGGAGCAAACATGGGGTAAATACTTTATTACCTGAAGTTTTAATTGGAATATTAACCCCTGTGAGAAATGATACTCACTTACAAAATTTTAAAAGGTTTATTAAAACCTTATAAAAATACAATGGAAGACTGCATAGAGAAAACATTACAGCACCGGGGAGCAAAGGATTTTCCCCACCATGTGCTCATCCACACAATGGAGGTTTTGTCTTTTAACCCTTTAGCCCCTCCCAAAGTTCTGTCCATCGACTCCTTCTTCACCATCCAGTGGTGGAGTTCACTTCCTTAAATCTTGATTGGAGGTCAGGTGCTGCCACAGTGACAAGCTGACCCTCCCAAATGTCCCAAACCCAGGCCACCCCATAATAACAACACAAGGGAGGGTAAACCATAACTATAAATCTATAAAACTTCTCTTAACATATATACATGATATTTGCCTTTTAATTGTGACAGTCAACCACGGCATTACTCGTCTATCACACCCCCAATATGCAAATGGACCAAACTTACAAAAGTGTGAAAATCCGTAACCCATATCCACTTTGTCTGCCCTAAATGTACCTAAAGACCCTTCAATAAATATAACTGCTTTTTATTTCCTTAATTTTGTCTGACATCTCTTTTTAGGTAGTCCTCAAAAAGGTATCATAACATTTTAATGGTTCCTCTCTCTTTGCATGAGTCTTTATTGAAAAAAAGCTTCCCCAAAAAGTGATCTAAACCCAGGATCCCAGTTTCCAGATGTTCTGACCACTCCCAGCTCCCTGAGAAAATATCTCAAAACAAGATTTAAATGCTAGATTCTAGGTATCCCAACCTGCAGTTTCTGTAAATTGCATGAACAAAATTTGTATTTGACTTCTCTGATCCACTGGAGCTCCCAAATAAATTGCAGGATTCTTTTCAATTGGCAGGATCAATCAGTGATTATAAGTCAGTTGTACTGTGCTTTGTGCCCTTTGCCACTTACTCACTGCTCCTTTCTACGTAGTTGAGGAGGTCTTCAGGCTGTAAATAGATGCTAAATAGTTATTTAAACTCTTCTTCTTTGTGTAATTACAAACATTTGTAATGAGCTGTCTGGTTTTGCAGCCTTGTTTGATGCTAATAGTGCAGGAGCACCTCTTACTCTTACAAACTCCAGGCCACCTTCACCAAAGACATTTAGACAGCAAAAATGGGATTTGTCTGACCACTTTTAAGCACCTATCACATGGATGCCTTCTTCTGATTAAGGTCTTGTACGATGCTTTTATACCCAGTAGAGAGAAGAGATGAGATGGACAAACCCCACTCCTAATTCCTCTTTAGAGCCCTGTGTTGCCACAAAAATAATTACTTATGAATCCAGCATTTTAGAACCTTTGTCCTTGACTTTGTCCCCCCAACCCAGGTGGTTGTGGTGTGTTTGAAGGGTGATGGGGATGAGAGCTGGCAACACAAACCACATCCCTGGAGCCTTTTCCCAGGGGAGTGAGGCCAAAAGGAGAGGAGCTGCTCATGTGCTGGAGGCTGAAGGACGTGCCAGCTCATCAACTGGGGCAGAAACACCTTCCAAAAGGGAATTTTCTCCTTGAAAATGCCTTGCCACAAGTGCTGCTGAGGTCTGGCTGAGTGCAGGTGTACCAGGCAGCAGCTGTGGGGTCTCATAGGAGCACAGACAGCTGGGCTGATGAAAAACTCTCAGATATTTGTAGTAAGATACATATAATTGCCCTGATAATGTACCAGTGACCCATAGCGTCTTAAGATTAGTCACCCAGTATCTTACTAAAATTAGTTTTGCATTTTTAAAAATTAGATGCAAAACACAGCCATTGTTAATAGAGAGGTAAGCCAGTACAGCAGACTGGAGTTATTTGCCTGTCGTATGTATAAGCTCAGGGGACAATTAGAAAAACCTGAGGGTTTTCCTGGAGGTTTGACCCTCTCTTCTACCTCTTTGTTCCAGCCTGTACTTGCCGAGCTCCTGGAGTGTTCAGGTCGGTTTTGTGACTCAGCAGGACACCCAGGTTCACCCACATTCAGTGGAAAAAATCATTTACCATCGGAATTATAAACCCAAGACTATGGGGAATGACATAGCACTGATGAAACTGGCAGCACCTCTCACTCTCAATGGTAATTTACCTCTGTGAGCTTGCATTTGACTTTCTCACCTTCCCAGCTAAAACACCCCTGTCCACACAACACCAGCAGAAACCCCCCAGCCCCAGTGTGAGCAGCTCCTCTGTACTCCATATCCAGGCATGGACAGCAACAACGTGCTGCAAAATGTTCCCAGTCCACTCTGGTATTGATTTACTGCAGGCATTTATTAATAGGCAAACATTAACTTTATTCTTTCTAAATATTCTTCCTATCTAAAATAAACACCCTGCCTCATTCTGCTTGGAGGTCACAGAGATTTTTATCATGTCCTTTCCATGAGTACTGGGGGATTCAGAAGTGTCCAAAGCTGAAAATCAAGCTTGAATTTCAAAGAGAAGAGAAGGTAATTTGAATATAATGATGATTTAAATGAAAGCAACTTTTATTTTTTCGATTGGATGCTACCTGCAGTTGATAAAATGAGTTGAAATAATATGCAATAATATTGTATGAATTGTAATACCTGCCAATACCTCCTAATCACTGTGAGCTGGCTGCAGAGGGGAGCTGGTTCTCTTTGACACATCTAGGCAGTCATTTTCTAATTTCACTTTTAATGAAAATTAATCTCTTTTTTTTTTTTTTTTTTTGGTTTTGTCTCTCAGATTTCTGCTGATTTCTTCTGCTCATGAATAGCTTTGGGAACAAGGAATAATAAGGGATACTTAAGGAATAGGGAATAGTAGGAAGGAATAGTAAGGATTAGTAGTGGCTCTGCACCTGAGCATGTTCCCATTGTGTTCTGTGCTGGGGGCTTGATGCTTTGAGCTGGGATCACTGCACTGTGCAGAGCAGAACCACTGGGAGCTGCCCAGTTTCATTTTGTATTTTCCCTCCCTTTTCTCAGCACCCATTTGTGCCTGCAAGAATCAAGCTCTGATTTTATCCCATGAAATTCCATGTCCCACAGTGCAGAGGCACCAAAACTCTGTGAGCTGATGGGTGGGAAGCAAATAATCCAAGTTTTTTCCAGCTCCTTTTCTCACCCCAGCAGCTCTGGTGCCTCTGATCTGCCTTTCAGCTGCATCTTTTTTCTGTTCTTTCTTCAATTTATTGACCTGCTGATACCTCCTTGTGTTGCTTCATACCCAAAACTCATTGGGCTACTGTGGGTGTTGTCTCAAACCCTCAGTGTTGCCCACAAGACAAAAAGCCTGCAGAAAACTGCCAGGCTATTTATGTGGGGAGTGGGTGGTGTTCATCACAAGTTCATTGCAAGGCAAATCTTCAAGTTTTCCTGAGACATATAAGCTTTTCTTTTTTGCTAAATTTTGATTCTCCTCTCTCTCCCTTTTTTTTTTTTTTTTTTTTTCGAAATAGGTCACATTGAACCGATCTGTCTGCCCAATTTTGGTGAACATTTCCCAGCAGGGAAAATGTGTTGGGTATCAGGATGGGGAGCAACTGTGGAAGGAGGTATTTTAAATTGTCTGATGATGATTTCACTGCATGCACACATCTTACATACAGTAAATACAGGATTTGGCTGGGACACTGTTTAACACTAAATTTTCGGGAATATCTGGAGGGAGAAAGACGACATATTACTAAATTTTATGCACAAATTGAACTGCAAAAGCACTGTGCAAAGTCATATCACAAGGAGTGGATGGATATCCTCTGAAAGAGTTGAAAATTCCACATATAAAATGTCCCCAGTGTTGTACTCAGCTTCAGACAAACAGGCTGTGCCCTTTAGAACTCCAAGCATAGGAGGCCTAGCATGAATGCAAGAATTAACCATCCCTTTTTTTTTTTTAGAGAAAGCATATATGTATTTTGAGGCAGATTGGCTGATGTAGAAATTGGATAAAACAACATCAAAAAGAAAAGGTTGTTTGTTTTTTTTTTTACCATGACTCATGGGTCATGTTAATCAATAATATAAACCGAACCACCTTCACGTGAAAATAGGTGAATTGTCACCCATTAATTGCTTTTTATCACTCTTCATTCATGTCATTGAACGTGTTTCTGTTGTTCAGAGAACAAGAACAGAACATTACCTGACCCACAGATAACAGCCAAAGGTGGGGAGAAAATGAAAGCAAGGTTTGCCACATAAAAAAAACAGCCCTGAATTGACAATAGGCAGCGTGCAAATACTCCCATTTGTAGAAAGGATGTGTTCAGGCGGTGAATGAAATAAAATAAATATTTATAAAGTAAATCAGATGTTTGCAGATGATTTGTTGACTAACAGAACAGGTGATAAATTCAGAACAGGTTTTGGCACTAGTATTGAACACAATGTTCAACAAGCTTTTTAGTTTATTAGTGTCATTAATTGTGTAGTTTGAAGTGGAAACACACAATGTCCAGATTTCATTGTTATTTTATACACTCTGATAATCCACATCTCTACAGAGTGGATAATTGCTGTGTTCTGTAAGTGATGAGACACCAAGTTGCCTTACTTTTGTCTCGGCATTTAACCATGTTTCTTTCCTCCTTCCTTGCCAATTCTCTGTATATAAAACATTCTCTGTTTATCAGTGGAGATTATTTTCAAGGACAGGAAGGTTTTTTCTGGCTTTTTTTTCATTTTTTTAAACAGGTGACACATCTGACACCATGAATTATGCAGGTGTCCCTCTGATTTCCAATGCAATTTGCAATCACAGGGATGTCTACGGTGGGATCATAACTTCTTCAATGCTTTGTGCTGGTTTCCTAAAGGGAGGAGTGGACACCTGCCAGGTATGGAAGTTTCCAAACTGCGACTGTGCTCATTGGAAATGGAAAAACATGAGTGATAAGCTATCAGAAGGCACTCCCAGGCTTTTCTTGGGCAAACATTTGGATTTGTGCCATTTATTCTGCTTACCACAATTATCAATCACTGACCATGTGCATTCACACGCTACAATTTCCTTTTTATACTTCTTCTCTGGATCTTATCTGATACTTCTGAAGCCAAATTTGCTTAAGACGTATTTTGCTGCATGTGCTGCAGCACGGTGCCATCCTTTCTCTGCCTTGGCTGTGACCTCTGCACTGCACTGAATTGCACTTCCCTGCACTGTGAGCAGCTCCAGAGACCTGCAAGGTGCAGAAAGCCCATGGTGAAAAGCCAGAGAGGGCTGGGGAGGAATTCCTAGTGGAAGATGTCCCTTTTCCAAGCAGGGAGCTTGGATCTATGCATACTTCAATGTCCCTTCCAACCCAAATCTCTGTGATTCTGTGAACTTTGTGTTTCCAGATTTGCTCCATCCCAACCACACTTGGGACAAATCAAAAAATAAAGCAAAGGCAGTGGGTGCCTAGATCTGCATTTCATCCCCTTTTTGCACACAAACCCCCCAAAAAGGCACTTGGCACCAGCTCTGCCCAGGAGAGCTGCCCAAAGGCAGCGTGCTCAGCTCACAGCTCCACGTGAGAGGAGGAGCCCTGCTCACCAGTGAGACAGCCTTGTTCCAAATTCCCTTTTTGCCATTGGTTTTGCTGGCTCTGATTCTTGTAGGACAGGAAACTGCCCCAGCAAAAATGAAATGGGAAGTTTTCAGTACTTAGATGCAAGTCCATTGAGATAAATCTGCAAATAGCAAAGTGTCTGGGAAGGGCTGGAAAAGCAGGCAGGAGCAGGCAGGGGAGGAGGTGTGAGATGTGAACTCGGTGCTGCAACCTTGGGCTCAGCTCAGCTCGATAGCCAGGACCCAGGGAATGAAAAATATGGTTTCATACATGTCTCAAAAATCTCCAAGCCCTGCTGTAATGTGCTTTTCCCAGGACCCAGAACCTATCAGAAACAAGAGATTTTAAATTACTGGACTATATCTCTCCCCCACGGAAAATTTCCTCCTTTTCTGGGACACTAAAATTTGTTTTTATTCTTTTTCCCTCAGGGAGATAGTGGGGGGCCTTTAGCCTGTGAAGATATGAGTGTCTGGAAGCTGGTGGGGACCACCAGCTTTGGAGTGGGCTGTGCAGAGAAGAACAAGCCGGGTGTCTACAGCAGAACCACCTCCTTCCTGGACTGGATCCACGAGCAGATGGAGGTCTGGGCTGGCACTGCTCCTCCACCTCTGGCTGTCACTTTGTGCCACACAAAGTGGGGTTTGGCCCCTATTTGTCAGAGCTGAGCTGTCTTGGATGGAGATTGGAGGGGGTGTTTGGGGATTGGGACAGGCCCTGGGACAGAGCAGGGTGCAGGGGTTTGGGGACACCACGGAGGGGTAGGGAGGAGAGGACAGCTCATCCACAGGGGTGGGAATCACAGGGGAGGGGGACTGGAGCAGCACAGGGAGGTGTGGAAGGGCTGAGTCAGGAGATGGGGGTCAAGGAAAGAGATCCTTGGGGACAATGGTGTGTGCAGTTCTGGTGTCCCCAGTATAGGAAGGGAATGGTGGAGCAAGTCCAGAGAAGGGACACAAAGCTGCTAAGAGGACTGGAGCACCTCCCCTTTGAAGACAGGCTGGGAAAGTTGTGGCTGTTCAGCCAGAAGAAGAGAAGTTTATGTGGAGACCTCAGAGCACCTTCCAGAGTCTGAAGGGGCTCCAGGGAAGCTGCAGAAGGACTTTGTCAGGAACTGTAGTGACAGGACAAGGAGTGATGGTACAAATGGAAAGGGGGGAAATTTAGGTTAGACAGGATGAAATTGTTCCCTGTGAGGGTGGTGAGGCCCTGGCACAGGCTGCCCAGGAAGGTTGTGGATCCCTGGCAGTGCCCAAGGCCAGGCTGGATAAGGCCTGGAGCAGCCTGGGCTAGTGGGAGATGTTCCTGCCCATGGCAGGAGAGGTTGGGATGAGCTGATCTTAGAAGTGGCTTCCAGCCCTCAACATTCTGTGATTCTGTGACTTGGTTTGGAGCCCTGGGGCTGCTGCAGAGAAGCCTGGGGAGTGGAGACTGAGTGGGCCAGAGAAATTGCAGAGGGAACACGGCGTTGGCTGGAAGGAGAGCAGAGACAGGGAAGTGAGGGGACCCTGCAGCCACTTTCACCTGACCCAAGGGTGGCCCAGTGCCAGCAGAGCAGCTCTGCTGCTGCCAGCACCTCTGAGTGCTGCCAGAGAGGCGCTGGGTTCAGTCAGCTGGGCACAGACAGGCACTGTGCTCCGGGTGGCACTCCCAGGCAGGGCTCCTTTGCCTAGGCAGGGTCATCCAGAGCCATTCCAGAGGTCTCAGGCTGTCCTGCCTGGCTCACAGGTGCTCCTGCAGGAGACAAGGACCTGCAGCTCGCCCTGGGTCACATCCACCACCCATCCCCATGGGGCTGGCTCAGATACCCCGTGCAGGCTCAGGTGGTGCCCAGTGCACTGAGACACCTCAAGTGGCACTAGGCAGGGCAAGTGCAAGGCAGGAGAACCCTCCTCCAGTGCCCTGGGAGGATTCTGGACAGGCAGAGAGCTGTGCACAGGCTCTTAATTGTTATTGTTTAATTGTTTAATTAATTCTCCTTAGTGGCAAAGCCACAGAGTGTGCCTCCCATTCTGCTGCAGCCTTGGCCTGGCAGACAGAGCTGCTGTTCCCACACCCAGCCTGCTGGGATGAGAGAATGCATGGACAGCAGTGGTGCCATTCCAGCAATGCAGCAATGCAGCAATGCAGCCACGTGCTGAAACCACCCCTGTGGCCATCTCACTTGTGAAATACGTGAGGCTTCCTCCTCAAACCAAACTGCCAATATCAAACAGTCACAGAGAAGCAAATGCCCAAAATAAGGTGATGTGTGCAATTTCAGCTCAGCCCACATCTGAATACTGGATGACACACACTGTTTTCACAGCTTGTATTGCCCATGATGATTTGTGCTCTCACAAGCCTATCTGTCGCTCAAAGAAAACAGGAAAACAGAATCTGAGTCTTCAACACCTGTAATATTACTTTATTTTATTCTCCCTGAAAATGTCATTCTGATTTATTTGCATATATAAACATTCCAGATTAAGAGCTCATATCACATGAAATCACAGATCTCCATTATAAAGCGATCAAGGGAGAAAAAAAGTACAGCAAAATCTTTGTTGAGCCAAGTGCTAAAATACTGGAATTTTTCAGAAGGGTATCCTTCAGAGGTAAGTTTATCCCCTTAGAAAGGATTTTCAGGTGCAGCATGGAAACATGGGCACTTTTTAATGGGCTCTGAAGCAAACCTAAAGAAAGGAGAACCAGTGTGCCTTTAGAAGTGGGGCCAAGGAAATGGCTTGTACCTGGCAGAGCTGTACTGGGGCATAGCCCAGATCAAACTGGCGCAGAGAAGCTTTGGGGTGACCTAATTGCAGCCTTCCAGTGCCTGAGGGAGCTGCAGGAAGGATGGAGAGAGACTATTGACAAGGGCCTGCAGTGACAGGACAAGGGGTAATGGCTTCAAACCAACAGAGTAGATTTAAATTAGATGTTAGGAATAAATTTTTCACTTTGAGCATGGTGACGCCCTGGCACAGGTGCCCAGAGGAGCTGTGGCTGCCCCTGGATCCCTGGCAGTGCCCAAGGCCAGGTTGGACAGGGCTTGGAACAGCCTGGGATAGTGGAAGGTTTCCCTGCCCATGGCAGGGGGGTTGGAATGAGATGATCTCTTCCAACCCAAGCCATTCCATGATCCCGCTGGCAGGATCAGCTCCTGCAGCCCCTCAGTCCCCTTGGAGACCTGAGTGCAGTGGGAAAACCTTTCCAGAGCTCCATGGGTGGCAGCACCAGCATTTGCAACAGATGCATAAATATTTTGGTTTTTTTTTCCCAGAGAGAAGAACTGCAGACCTGAGGGCAGTGGCTGTGCTCTGGGCTCCTGAAAACCCACATCACACTCCAGCCCCACAGAAGGACACAGCCCATTCTTCTGGTCACCTGCTCTGAGCTCTGGACCTTCACAGAGCACCTTTCACTGTTTCTTTTGGTTACTGGCAGCTGCACTTGATGCAAACTGTTGCACATTCAGCCTGTTTTGGGTGGAAGAAGCAGATGGATGATCAGCATGTGTGTTTACTGTCAGCTACTGATTTTACACGGAGGAAAAAAGCTAAGACTGATAAACCTGGATGCTGTCACAATAAAATTTTGCAGAAAAAGACTAGAATAACTATAGGTCAGTTGCTCACTGTTATTTTAGTGCTTACCTTCCAAGAACCAGACTACAAAATATCTTTTTTCCTGAAAGTATTCATATAGGTCCACAAGAGGTCTGTGCTCTGTTGCACAGGCAGCAGCAGCTTCCTTTGGCTCCAAAAGCAAGCAGGAAGCAGAAGGTTGGCACTTTTGACAAGTATGTTCAACTCTTAGAAAAAATAATCTCTGAATTCAAATGTATTATCATGTCACTGTGAACAAAGTTCATAAAAATCAAATTCTTACGTGTTTTCCTGCAGAAAATAGCTCTGAAATGAGCAACAGGTTGTAACTTGACTGGAAAATTCTGAGGTTACTGAACTTAAATGGAAGAGGAGCTTCTTTATGCCCTGCTTTCCCTCCTTTTCTCTGCTAATGGGACAATACAGATCTTTGTGCCTCTTTGTGCCTCTTAGTGACATCAGTGTGTGGAGGGACTGATGCCAGCCAGACAAAGGACAAAATATCTGAAATGCTGCTGTGGTTTCCTGATTTCCATTTTAATAAAACAGTCTCAGCTATTTTTAGGCTGGAAAATGCCTGATTGTTTGACACTTGCCCTTTGTAAAAATCCCAGGGTGAAAGTTTTCAATTTCAGAATTGATCGCCAAGCATGGCGTGGGCTGAATAATGGATAATATTGTCAGAGCTTTCCCATATCAGCCAAAATTGATCTTATCATCTGATCAGGTGCTGGTGATCTGCTTGAGATGTGATTTTGGATGCAGTCTTTGTGCTTCTAAATCAGTGTTTCCATCACCACTGCTGCAGGAAAGCGCCAGCAGAAGCAGAACTTAATTTTTGCTGCAATACATCGGGTCAAATCCGAGAGAAAACAGCAAACCCACATGGACTGGGGTTTGCAAATCTTGATATCACAGGACACTGCTCCAAAACCTTCCACCCTGACTGAAGAAACTGCAGTGCAATGGAAACTTCCCAAGTCTGCATGTTGTTAAAAAGAAGAGGGAATCATTATTGCAAAGCTGACACCAAATCTGGAATTAATTTGAACTGACAGAAGCATGACAGAACTACAACAAAGTATGTTGAACCCTTGTGTAGCTAAGACATTTTCAGAAGAGTTTTAATGTTCATTGCTTGTTATAATGACATTTTCACAGCCCAACATGGCTGATATTTTAGTATTATCAGCAATCTGAAGATGAGTGTGCTGCTCTTGGAGCTGACAGTGTTGTTACTTCATATTTCTGAAAGGACTCCTGAAAATTCCTTTTGAACTCTCCTGTTTCTATAAAAAGACTGTATGATAAGTATCCATTGTGGTCTGCTTTTGTATTCAAGAGAAATCCAGTGTAAAATGTGGAAAGCTACTGAATTCTTCCCAACCAGAAGCCACACTGACCCCCAGATCAATGACAATCACTTATGGGTAGACCCAGCCCTGTGAGCCTGCAAATCTTCCTTTTTTCTTCCTTCTGATTTTTGTTAGACCCCTTGCTGTGCTGTCTTAATAATCCACAGGCAGAATCACAGAATCATGGAATGGTTTGGTTTCTAAGGGACCTTACATCATCCAGCTCCAGCCCCCTTGCCACATAAAAGAGTCACTCCCTACAGATGGATTTTCCTGCCCCTCCATATGCCATTAACATCCATGCCAGAGGCTTTAAAATAAATATAATCACAATAGTAACATATTTCTTTATATTAAGCCAAGTGAATATACCTAGGGGTTTAGGGCATTTGCTGTGGGAGGTGTTTTGTATGGACATTATGTTTTATTCAGGACTGCTGAAGTGGTTATCAGTGTGACAGCTGGAATGAACTGTGCACAAAAGAATAACTCTTCAAAGAGTTTTTAAGGCAGGTTACCAAACTTTTCCTTTTCCTTGGGATTTCTTCTCTTCATTCAGCAAAAATCATTTTCAACACCACACGTGCAGGTACAGAGGGCTGCCAAAGCAGGTGGGGCTGAAGGCAGCTCTGGTGTAAGTAATCCTGATTAGGGGTTCCATGGTAAACACCTTGGGAGTGTTTAAGACCTTTCTATTAGGGGAGTGTCTATTTGCCACGTTATTAAAGAGGCTGAT